GTTGATTTTCCAAACTTACTTTGTTGGTCCCTAAATGGGGGGACTATGTATAAGGCACTTAACCCTAAGTATAGTCATTGTTTGATTTCAAATCCAAACTTTTGGAGTATTGAGCCAAAAGTAGGACAAAACGCTTTTACTGTCCCAGTATTTTATTTTCTATTTTATTTGATTTCATGCACTTTGAGATTATTCTTGTATAATGAAATGCGCTTTACAAATGTAGTAAATTATTATCATCATTAACTGACTCATCTGGTTAAATGAAGCATTGTCTGACAACATACTTCCACAGTCACTCCTAGCTGTTTAATATATTCTTTTTTATTTTACCATGTTTTTTTCTAGCTCCCTCAGAAGCCAAAATCGACGTTGAGGCCATCAAGGCTAAGGTAAGGAAAGCCAAGACCAAGAAGCTAGGAGCCCCCTCAGTTAACCCTGTCCCACAGACCACACCCGCCAGTGACAAGAAGAAGAAGTGCTAACCTTGGAAAGGCTTGACCAATGGACGATATTTACTATTACTGCATTCAAACGGGGCATGCAGATTACTGGCGTTAAGGATGTCCGGTTTGTCAGAACATCGGTTTGGCTAAATATTTCTTTGTGATATTAATAGAATATCCCCAATTCCTCACAGAGATGAACCTCCTCATAGTTTCGATGATTAAATGAATATTGAATGCTTCTGTCAGCAGTAGAGGAGAGAGTATAGAGTGAAGGTGTAACCCTATATGTGAGATCCAATGCTTCTGAGTGTTGCCTAGTTTTCCCCTTGTAATGTCTCATAATGCTATGCGATCCTGACTAAATACATTTTGAGTCCGTTGAAAATAACATGCATACTATTAAAGACTTATTATAAATCATTAACAAGGTATTAAGCTATATACCTGCAGGGTTTGAGAAAAGGTGGTTGTTTAGGCATTGAAAGTTTTAGTTCATGATTAAATTAACATTGTTGTGTGCAGCTACAGGTGTCAGGTGTAGCAGAAATGGGCCTAGAGGACTGCTGAACAGTGAAATAGCATTGTGATGTTTAGGAGAACTGTGACATTCTTTGTCATTTGGTGCTGCTACTTCTAAAGACTCAATAAAACAAGTATATGATCAACTCATTCTGTATTTGTAGGAGTGATTTTCCTGTTTAGGCTAAATTAGATGATTTTAGACACCGCTCTTCAACTTTCACAAGCACATAAGCTGTTGTGTTATTAGGAGTTCTGCTGTCAGTGGTTGGTGAGCCTTGACCTAGATTTGTTTGTGCTTTTGCCATTTTTTGGGGAAACCGTTATTTTCAAATCTTTAACTTAACAGAAACACAGATTGTCATAATATAAATTGAATTGAAGTGTGTGAGCTATTTAAGACCTATTTTTCATGCTCTTATTTAATGCATTGTTTACTTCAGAGGGCCGTAGAGTTTGTATTAAAGACTTCTGCGTAACTCCTTGAGGTCAGAAAATAAAGATTTGGTTACATTTTGGGGTAAACTTTCCCTTTAAGACATTAATGGAAGCAGCAAAAGCAGCATATACATTTTAGTATTAGTAGTAGTTCACTTTATTGTACCACAATGGGAATTTGGTTTGAGGCTCTGCGGCAATTTTAAAAAGACAGGACCACATTGAGAAAGGAATGCCATCAATGACAACGTCAATGCAGGACAATCAATCCTCTAAACAGCTGAGCTATTCGTAAAAAAATAAGCTTGGGTACAATCTGTGTACTCCAAATGCGGCGACAAAGGTGAGGAGAAGGGCCAGGGGTCGGATGGCCAATATGGCCATGCAGGAGGGGCCACAGGTGGCCAGGGTGGGGACCCAGGTGGCCAGGGTGGGGTCCCAGGTGGCCAGGGCGGGGTCCCAGTCGGGAGTCCATCTGTAACCTGTACACAGGTGAGAAAAGAAAAGGCTACTGTAGGTCACAAAGAACACATGCTGCCATTGTGGCTTAGGAAGATAATTGAAATGAAGGGTTGCGTATTGAAAACATACTTTTCTGTTCGTCTCGTTTTGGATTGTCTGTAAAGAGAGAAGACAATATGGCAGCTTTGTTATGTCATGAATGGAAAATAGTATTGGGCGTTGTTGAATATGTTGAACATGTAGCATGTACAAGGGAAAGAGTATTGGTGGTGTTGTGAAGGAATATGTTTAACTTCACATTCAGACCATCACACACGTTTGTCCTGCATCTTATTAGTATATTGGGTGTGGGAAATGGTAACTGACTGAGACTTACGGCAGAGCTTGGCCTGGCATTGGTTGTTTGCACCCTCACAAGAGCTGCATTCTTCCATCCCATTCTGGTATGGTAAAATCCCAACCACGTTTCCCCTGGAGAAAGCAATGCTCATCCTTTTAATTTGTCCAAGATTTGTCCATATTTCTATAATCAGAGCATCTTAGACTTTGTGCAGGGTTGCATAATTGCCAATAACCTTTCAAAGATCCTCAAGTGTTCCAGAAATGATTCATTTTGCATCATTGTGATGCAAAGGCAAAATCATATGATGCAAATGTGTCATACTGGCTGTATTTCTGTATTTTGAAAGTTATATCTTTAATTTGCTGACATGCAAAATATTTTGGGACTATATATACAATGGACTAATGAAACAAATACCCAAAGATAGTTTTTGGGTGGAATGTATATCTGTGTTTTCAGTCTGACTTACGCTTAGGCATAGTTACAAGCAAAAATGGCTCCCTCTTTATTAGAAAACGAAGTCCTGTCGACACCATTCGGGCATATTTGGACGGCGCAACCAACCTTGTAGCTCGTCGCCCATACAACCTGGGAATGCAAGCAAGCATGCAGTCGGCACTGTTTTTACAATAGGTCAAATAGGGGGTCTTATATTTGTCCTGTTTCACACATGTACAATTGTGCAACCTGTGTGGTGTGAAATGTAAATGTATTTTTTGCATATCCCACTCTCCCTGCGAAACCCTTGGAGAGTGGGGTCATGGCCAGGGATCAGCCATTATTGACGGTGACCCTGGGGCAATTAGGGTTACAGTGGGGGAAAAAAGTATTTAGTCAGCCACCAATTGTGCAAGTTCTCCCACTTAAAAAGATGAGAGGCCTGTAATTTTCATCATAGGTACACGTCAACTATGACCGACAAATTGAGATTTTTTTTCTCCAGAAAATCACATTGTAGGATTTTTAATGAATATAATTGCAAATTATGGTGGAAAATAAGTATTTGGTCACCTACAAACAAGCAAGATTTCTGGCTCTCACAGACCTGTAACTTCTTCTTTAAGAGGCTCCTCTGTCCTCCACTCGTTATCTGTATTAATGGCACCTGTTTGAACTTGTTATCAGTATAAAAGACACCTGTCCACAACCTCAAACAGTCACACTTCAAACTCCACTATGGCCAAGACCAAAGAGCTGTCAAAGGACACCAGAAACAAAATTGTAGACCTGCACCAGGCTGGGAAGACTGAATCTGTAATAGGTAAGCAGCTTGGTTTGAAGAAATCAACTGTGGGAGCAATTATTAGGACATGGAAGACATACAAGACCACTGATAATCTCCCTCGATCTGGGGCTCCACGCAAGATCTCACCCCGTGGGGTCAAAATGATCACAAGAACGGTGAGCAAAAATCCCAGAACCACACGGGGGGACCTAGTGAATGACCTGCAGAGAGCTGGGACCAAAGTAACAAAGCCTACCATCAGTAACACACTACGCCGCCAGGGACTCAAATCCTGCAGTGCCAGACGTGTCCCCCTGCTTAAGCCAGTACATGTCCAGGCCCGTCTGAAGTTTGCTAGAGTGCATTTGGATGATCCAGAAGAGGATTGGGAGAATGTCATATGGTCAGATGAAACCAAAATAGAACTTTTTGGTAAAAACTCAACTCGTCGTGTTTGGAGGACAAAGAATGCTGAGTTGCATCCAAAGAACACCATACCTACTGTGAAGCATGGGGGTGGAAACATCATGCTTTGGGGCTGTTTTTCTGCAAAGGGACCAGGATGACTGATCCGTGTAAAGGAAAGAATGAATGGGGCCATGTATCGTGAGATTTTGAGTGAAAACCTCCTTCCATCAGCAAGGGCATTGAAGATGAAACGTGGCTGGGTCTTTCAGCATGACAATGATCCCAAACACACCGCCCAGGCAACGAAGGAGTGGCTTCGTAAGAAGCATTTCAAGGTCCTGGAGTGGCCTAGCCAGTCTCCAGATCTCAACCCCATAGAAAATCTTTGGAGGGAGTTGAAAGTCTGTGTTGCCCAGCGACAGCGCCAAAACATCACTGCTCTAGAGGAGATCTGCATGGAGGAATGGGCCAAAATACCAGCAACAGTGTGTGAAAACCTTGTGAAGACTTACAGAAAACGTTTGACCTGTGTCATTGCCAACAAAGGGTATATAACAAAGTATTGAGAAACTTTTGTTATTGAACAAATACTTTTCCACCATAATTTGCAAATAAATTCATTAAAAATCCTACAATGTGATTTTCTGGATTTCCTTTTCTCATTTTGTCTGTCATAGTTGACGTGTACCTATGATGAAAATTACAGGCCTCTCTCATCTTTTTAAGTGGGAGAACTTGCACAATTGGTGGCTGATTAAATACTTTTTTCCCCCACTGTAAGTGTCTTGCTCAAGGACAGATCGATAGATTTTTCACCTAGTTGGCTCGGGGATTTGAACTAGCAACCTTTTGGTTACTGGTCCAACGCTCAAATTGCATTTTGTGGTTTTGATGGTTTTACAGTAGAGGACACGTACCTGTGTGTAGTTGCCACACATTCTTCCTGGTGTACACTCATTGCTTTGGTATGAGTAATCTTTCACTTATTTGACCCATAAATCCATGGCTCTCATGACAGAGAACGTGGAGGTCGGGTATCCTGTCCAGATGTTCTCTCCCACAGAGGAGAAGACAGGGTGGACCCGTCTGACCTCTTTCAGGTAGATATTGTGCTGGAAATCACAGTGTCTCGCCCAGGCCCTTGCAGTGATGGCCAAGCCCTCATCCCACGTCTTGAGAAAACAAATTACAACCAAATTAGTGGGTGTCTAAAAAATGACAGTATCTATGATGTGAAACTGATTACACGCCTCTATGGATCTGAGTGGCCTGTCCTACTTTCATTCTAACATCGTCTTACAGGGCTCTACAGTACGACCATTTTAATTGCCTATGCGCCTACATATTTTTGCTGTGCGACCTGGAATTTTAATTTAGGAGCACCAGTGCGCCTCGATAAAGTTAAGGATTCTAGCTTTATTACCTTACCTCAAATGTTTCATTGTGGTCTTACATTTCTTTGTGTGCGCCTACATTTTTCAACTTAGGCGTCCACGTGCTCCTTGTAAAAAAGGACAGTGTAGAACCCTGTCTTATTCAACAATAGCCTGCTCACAAGGCAATGTTTATAAGCATTGTTGTTGCTCTGGGAAGCATTGAAGCACTATTCATGTATTGCATATTCTCAATTGTCACTTCTTTTCCAACTGCAAAAACATGACAATTCTGAATTATTTACATGGAACCAGTCTTGGCTATATTATGGTATTGCTGAGTTTTTAAGGTGAGAATCCACAGTGTTGCATGCTCTCATTGCCTCTGCTTACCATGTAGAGCATATTGCTGGCTGGTGGATTCACAGAGGACCGGTTGTCGTTGTGTATCCTCACACAGTCGTCGATGAACTTCTCGTCGGTGATGCCAGGAAATGGGTTGTACTCCGAGGACTCGATATTAGGGACAGATGAGGCCAGGAAAATCACAACCCACAGCAGCAGTAGCTGTGCCATGCTTCACGTTCAGATGATTGAACCAAGACAGGATACAATTGTCTCACATTACATCTCCTTTTGCAGTAAAGCAGCTTGTTGCACACGAACTGACACGTCTTTGCATATTTTACTGCTGGATGGTGATGAGGAAGGAAGTCGGTGTGAAATTTCGTGTACTAGTGAGTCAGTGCCATGTAGTACTGTAATAAACCTACTGGGCAGAAACTGATTGAATCAATGTTGTTTCCACGTCATTTCAACCCCCCAAAATCAATGTGATGATGTTGAATCAACGTGGGAAACTGATTGGATTTGTCATCAACATAAGGGCATTACGTCTTTTTTTCACCCAACTTTTAACCTAAATCCAATGACATGGTAACATTTGTTGTTGATTTCTCGTTGAATTCACGCTAGTTGACAACTCAAACAAATTTTAATCTAGACGTTGAACTGACGTCTGTGGCCAGTGGGAAAGCCTTGGTGATTGTTGCATCCAACTCATAAGAGAGATGAGGGAAGATACATGGAGAAGGGAGGAGAGAGAGACATAGGAAGATACATGGAGAGACTTATCTAGAGAGATAGCTAGAGTGTTATGGTATCTCTAGGATCCTGTAAGGCTAGGAAGAAGTGTGGTATTGTGGTTAGCTAAACCTCCCTTATTCATGTGTGGGAATGAGATAATTCGGCAGTCCTGTGTGAATCTACTGGAGTGTGTGTGTGTGTGTGTGTGTGTCTGTGTTTGTCTGTGTGTGTGTGTGACTTCAGCAAGGCAAGCATCTTATGCTGTGGTTGTCTGAACTTCTCCTATTGAGTCAGTTCTGTGAACTTCTTATCACTCTTCAGCCAGACAGTAACTATGGGTACCATAGAGGCTCAGAATAAGTTAGAGGAAAAACAAAAAGAAATGGAGGAACTTATTCAAGAAAGATCAAGCGTAATATATTATAAAAATGAAGTGAACTGGATGGAATATGGGGGAAAATGCTGCAAATACCTTTTTATTCTTCAACAGAGAAATGCTACCAAAAATAATTTACTGAAACTTGATTCACCAAACAATATTTTGAAAGAGGAAGTAAAGTACTTTAAGCATATGTTTTCGTTTCAGTCTCCTCCATCTCCGCTAACCGAAGCTAATTGTATGGATTTTTTCTATTAATAATGGAAAATTAACAGCTGTACAGAAATACTCATGTGAAGGCTAACTTACAGGGGAAGAACTTCTTGATGCAATTAAAGCCTTTAAGTCCAGGGCTGGATGGCACACCAGTGGAGGTATACCAAACTGTCACGTCTCCTCCCGTTGCTCCCCTCCGGCGCTCTGATTCGCCGGTCTACTGAGCCACCGGTCTGAGCGCACCACCTCGGCAACACCGGAATGGAAACCCAACGCACCCTAATCACCTCCAGCGCACCTGCACCACATCATCTCTTCACCACCCCTATTCTTCAAAGTAGCCACCCTTTGCCTTGATAACATCTTTGCACACTCTTGGCATTCTCTCAACCAGCTTCACGAGGCAGTCATCTGGAATGCATTTCAATTAACAGGTGTGCCTTGTTAAAAGTTAATTTGTGGAATTTCTTTCCTTCTTAATGCGTTTGAGCCAATCAGTTGTGTTGTGACAAGGTAGGGGTGGTATACAGAAGATAGCCCTATTTGGTAAAATACCAAGTCCATATTATGGCAAGAACAGCTCAAATAAGCAAAGAGAAACAACAATCCATCATTACTTTAAGACATGAAGGTCAGTCAATACGGAACATTATAAGAACTTTGAAAGTTTCTTCAAGAGCAGTCGCAAAAACCATCAAGCGCTATGATGAAACTGGCTCTCATGAGGAACGCCACAGGGAAGGAAGACCCAGAGTTACCTCTGCTGCAGAGGATAAATTCATTATAGTTACCAGCCTCAGAAATCGGTAATTAACTGCACCTCAGATTGCAGCCCAAATAAATGCTTTACAGAGTTCAAGTAACAGACACATCTCAACATCAACTGTTCAGAGGAGACTGCGTGAATCAGGCCTTCATGGTCGGATTGCTGCAAATAAACCACTACTAAAGGACACCAATAATAAGAAGAAACTTGCTTGGGCCAAGAAACACGAGCAATGGATGTTAGACCAGTGGAAATCTGTCCTTTGGTCTGATGAGTCCAAATTTGAGATTTTTGTCTCAAATCACACAGGTACATTAAAAGCACACAGGTACATTCAAATCATTAGAATCACACGTAACAGTTCATAACATTTTAAGTTGACAACTTCTTGTTAAACCACAGTGTACAGCAGCCTAATGCAGTAGACTGACTTCTCTGACCAGCATCCCATTCATTTACATTTTAGCAGACGCTCTTATCCAGAGCGACTTACAGTTTGTGAGTGCATACATTTTCATACTGGCCCCCCGTGGGAATCAAACCCACAACCCTGGCGTTGCAAACGCCATGCTCTAACAACTGAGCTACACGGGACCATTCACAGCCCAACCAGCCAAAATCTAAAAGTGGCTTTATCTTAACCCTAACCCTAACATTAACCAAATCCTTAACCCTAACCTGTTTTTATTTATTAATACAAAACTAAAAAACTAAATGATGTTCAATTAATAGGCGTTGGATGAATAACAAATGCATTGTCAGCACACATCCAAAATCACATAATCAATAATAATTTAATAAGGTTTATTCATAGTACATTTACATTTCACATATTAGTCATTTAGCAGACGCTCTTATCCAGAGAGACATACAGTAGTGAGTGCATACATTTTGGTACTTTTTCATACTAGTCCCCTACATGCAGACCTATCAAGTAACAGTAGATGCTATGCTAATTGCTTTCACCATTACATTAAAGAATTAGAAAATGAACCCTAAATGAACCAATTATTTTAACCAATTCAGAAATTAAATATCATCAGCCACGTCCCTTTTTCCCTGTTTCAGTAGAACAGGGAGGTTGGTGGTGCCTACAGTGACAGGGAGAGCAGCCCTTCTTATTCATTAATGGATACAGGCACAAAGCTTGGTTCTCATGAGACAGTATAGCCTGCTTTTTCTAAGACAATGTACAAGCAGAGCCACTTTCTGTTTGGATTCCCTGGGGTTCAGCAGACCTCTGGTATGATGGCACCTGCTGCAGGAACAAGTCCCAATCCGGCCCAGCGACTGGCAACTCTGTCTGGAAGTGGTTCCAGAACCTGGACAAATAACCAAGACAGGTATTAAACCCAACAGTTGAGAATCGTTGCTCATCACAATAGAGTTCATAACGGTACACGAGGGCTTACTGGTGGTGGTAGACGCCTGGGTCTGGTAAGGGAGGAAGGAAGGAAGGAAAGGAGGCAAGGTGAGGAGACGAGGGCTTACCGGTGGTGGTAGACGTCTGGCTCTCTGCTCAGACGGTTCTGAAAGCCGATGTACAGGTCGTCCCAAAGAAGGCCATTCTTCACCACGTGCCTGATGACTCCGATCCTGTTCTTGATCTTTACAGAAGAGAAAGTAGTACACTGTCTATCTCTCAGTCCAATCAAGTTACATGAAATGGAAAACAAACTAGTTATCCACTTGGAGATAAATGGGGGTTCCTTTAAAGGCATGTTGGCATTTAAGAAGGCCCGGACTGCTACATTTGCGGTCCCGGGACACCTACCTCCAGGCCCCGCCTCCCGTTTTAGGGAAAATATTTTTTGGGGAAAATAGCTAACTTCTTACATTTCAACACATTTTGCAATGGGGCAGAGAGAAAAATGTGCAGTTTTATAATGCTATTCTACACATTTTGACATGAGGCCGAGATAAACATTTGCAGTTTTATAGCTCATCTCATGCTATTCTAGTCGAGCAGTGAACTTCAAGCTCAGATTCCACAACAAAGACCAGGGGAAGGGCACCTATTGCTAGATGGGTAAAATAAATAAAAAGCTGACATTGAATATCCCTTTGAGCATGGTGCAGTTATTAATTACACTTTGGATGGTGTATCAATACACCCAGTCATTACAAAGATATAGGCACCCTTCCTAAATCAGTTGCCGGAGTGGAAGGAAACCACTCAGGGATTTCACCATGAGGCCAATGGTGATTTTAAAACAGTTACAGAGTTGAATGGCTGTTATCGGAGAAAACTGAGGACGGAACAACAACATTGTAGTTACTCCACAATACTAACCTAAATGACAGAGTGAAAAGAAGGAAGCCTGTAGAGAATACAAAATTCAACAAGGTACTAAAGTAATACTGCAAGAAATGTGGCAAAGAAATTAAATTTTTGTCCTGAGTACAAAGCGTAATGTTTGGGGAAAACACAACACATCACTGAGTACCACTCTTCATATTTTCAAGCATGGTGGTGGCTATATCATGTTATGGGTATGCTTGTCATTGTCAAGGACTGGGAGGATAAAAAATAAATGGATTATAGCTAAGCAATGGCAAAATCCTAGAGGAAAACCTGATTCAGTCTGCTTTCCAACAGACACTGGGAGACAAATTCACCTTTCAGCAGGACAATAACCGAAAACAAGAGGCCAAATATACACTGGAGTTGCTTACCAAGACGACATTGAATGTTCCTGATTGGCCTGGTTACCCTTTTAACTTAAATCAGCTTGAAAATCTATGGCATGACATGGAAATTGGCTGTCAACAACCAATTTGACAGAGCTTAACGAATTAAAAAATAATAATGGGCAAATATTGTGCAATCCAGGTGTGCAAAGCTCTTAGAGACTTACCCATATACAGAGCCGTGAAAAAGTATTTGCCCCCTTTCTGATGTTCTCTATTTTTGCATATTTTTTAATACTGAATGTTATCAGATCTTCAACCAAAAGCTAATATTAGATAAAGGGAACCTGAGTGTCACGCTCGTCGTACGGAGTAGACCAATGCGCAGCGTTAGTTGCAAACATATTTATTTATTTAATGAATGCAAGAACAAAACAACAAAACGAAAACGTGACGTCCTCGGTATAACACAACCGACACGGCAACAAACCAAAACGGAACAAGATCCCACAAACACAATGGGAAAACCGACAGTTTAAATATGGCTCCCAATCAGAGACAACCCGCAACAGCTGACACTCGTTGCCTCTGATTGGGAGCCACTCTGGCCAACATAGAAATACAACACTAGAACTACCACACAGAAAATAAACACATAGAAACTACACACCCTGGCTCAACATATAGAGTCCCCAGAACCAGGGTGTGACAGTACCCACCCCCAAAGGCGCGGACTGCGACCGCGCCTCAACAAAACCCAAACAGGGGAGGGCTGGGTGGGCATTCCTCCTCGGAGGCGGTTCCGGCCCCGGGCTAGACCACCACCCTTCAATAATCCCCCCGTAGCGCCCCTGGTCCGGTCTGGCCCCGCTGGCTGGAGCTGGACTGGACATCGAAGGAGCGGATTGCTTAAGCTCCGTTGTGGAGCAGCTGACCGGTACCTGTTCAGGCACCGGTGACTCAGGCACGGGATGTGCCGGACTGACGACGCGCACCCCTGGCTTGGTGCGTGGAGCAGGAACAGACCGGACCGGGCTGACGATGCGCACCCCTGGCTTGGTGCGTGGAGCAGCAACGGGCCGGACCGGGCTGACGATACGCACCCCTGGCTTGGTGCGTGGAGCAGGAACGGACCGGACCGGGCTGACGATGCGCACCCCTGGCTTGGTGCGTGGAGCAGCAACGGGCCGGACCGGGCTGACGATACGCACCCCTGGCTTGGTGCGTGGAGCAGGAACGGGCCTTACCAGGCTGACGACTAGCACCCCTGGCTTGGTGCGAGTGGCAGGAACAGGCCGGGCCGGGCTGGCGACGCGCACCGTAGGCTTGGTGCGAGTGGCAGGAACAGGCCGGGCCGGGCTGGCGACGCGCACCGTAGGCTTGGTGCGAGTGGCAGGAACAGGCCGGGCCGGGCTGGCGACGCACACCGTAGGCTTGGTGCGAGTGGCAGGAACAGGCCGGGTCGGGCCGGCGACGCGCACCGTAGGCTTGGTGCGAGTGGCAGGAACAGGCCGGGCCGGGGCTGGCGACGCGCACCGTAGGCTTGGTGCGAGTGGCAGGAACAGGCCGGGCCGAGCTGGCGACGCGCACCGTAGGCTTGGTGCGGGGAGCAGGAACAGGCCGGACCGGGCTGGCGACGCGCACCATTTGCCTGGTGCGGGGAGCAGGAACAGGACGGGCCGGGCTGGCGACGCGCACCATCGGCCTGGTGCGGGGAGCAGGAACAGGCCGGACCGTACTGGGGACACACACCACTGGCCCTACGCAGGGATCTGGAACGGGCCGGACCGGACTGGTAACACACCCCAGTACCTCTCGCCGTGCCTCTACACCTTCCTTCCTCTCTTTGACCAGTGGCCCCCGTAACCTGGCGGCCTCCTCTGCCAACCCGCTGGGCCGCTCTGTCGCCGTCTCCTGCTGCCACGTCGTCCACGGCGTTAGCCCCCCCCTAAAAATTTTATGGGCTTCACTCCTACCCGTGGACCAGGTCTCCATACTTCTCGCCAGCCTTTCGCCCTTCTGCTTCCACGTCAAGCCCCTCTCTTCCTCACCCGGCTTGACCCAGTCGAGGAGGCGCTGGATATCCGCTAGGGATTTCCCTGGCGATGGCTCCTGGACCCGCTGCTTGGTCCAGTTCTGTTGGGATCTTCTGTCACGCTCGTCGTACGGAGTATACCAATGCGCAGCGTTAGTTGCAAACATATTTATTTATTTATTTAATGAATGCACGAACAAAACAACAAAACGAAAACGTGACGTCCTCGGTATAACACAACCGACACGGCAACAAACCAAAACGGAACAAGATCCCACAAACACAATGGGAAAACCGACAGTTTAAATATGGCTCCCAATCAGAGACAACCCGCAACAGCTGACACTCGTTGCCTCTGATTGGGAGCCACTCTGGCCAACATAGAAATACAACACTAGAACTACCACACAGAAAATAAACACATAGAAACTACACACCCTGGCTCAACATATAGAGTCCCCAGAACCAGGGTGTGACACTGAGTTTACAAATAACAAAAAAAATTGATACTTATTTTATTTATTTAATCAACAAAGTTATGCAACACCCAATTTCCCTGTGTGAAAAAGTAATTGCCCCCTTACACTCAATAACTGGTTGTGCCACCTTTAGCTGCAATGACTGCAACCAAATGCTTCCTGTAGTTGTTGATCAGTCTCTCACATCGCTGTGGAGGAATTTTGGCCCACTCTTGCATGCAGAACTGCTTTAACGCAGCGATATTTGTGGGTTTTCAAGCATGAACTGCTCGTGTCAAGTCCTGCCACAACATCTTTTTAGCCATTTTCATGTAGACTTGATTGTGTGTTTTGAATCATTGTCTTGCTGCATGACCCAGCTGTGCTTCAGCTTCAGCTCACAGACGGATGGCTTGACATTCTCATGTAGAATTCTCTGATACAGAGCAGAATTCATGGTTCCTTCTATTAAGGCAAGTCGGTCCTGAGGCAGCAAAGCATCCCCAAACCATCACACTACCACCACCATGAGGTTCTTACTGTGGAATGCAGTGTTTGGTTTTCGCCAGGCATAATGGGACCCATGTCGTCCAAAAGGTTGACTCAAGTTTGCCAAAAAGCACCTGGAAGAACCTGGATGATCATCAAGACTCCTGGAAGCATGTTCTATGGACAGTTGAGTCAAAAGTATAACTTTTTGGACAACATGGGTCCATTATGCCTGGCGAATACCAAACACTGCATTCCACAGCAAGAACCTCATGGTGGTGGTAGTGTGATGGTTTGGGGATGCTTTGCTGGTTATTGCTATATTATATTATTATATATTATATACTGTATATTAGCGTTTTATTTTCCATTAATAAAAAATAAAATAAATTGTGTCGATCGTTGATAAAAGTAATTTTAATCCCACGTTGTAACACAACATAATGAGGAAAAAATCAAGGGGTGTGAATACTTTCTGAAGGCACTGTACTTATCAAGCCCTGCATTTAAGGCATTAGTGAGAACTGAGCCAGCAACAATGATCTTCAACTGAAAACAGCTTTGCATCTGCCAACAATAACATCAAACCCCTGAAGTTTTGCATAGTAGCCTGCCATCTCTGTGTCTCATACAGCATTCACCTCTTATGAGAATGACATGAGTCCAGGAAATGTTATTCTTATTGACATTTTACTCATTTATCCGACTCTCTTATCCAGAGCGACGTACAGGAGCAATTAGGGTTAAGTGCCTTTCTCAAGGGAACATAGTCAGCGCGGGGATTCGAACCAGCGACCTTTCGGTTACTGGCCCAGCGCTCTTTACCCGCTAGGCTACCTGCCGCCCTTATGACAGAGTTGTAACATGCTATGTTTTTTCCCCACAATGTTTGTATTGATCCTTCTCATAAGTGGAGTGCAGTGTACTTAATAGTATATAGGTGAGCAGGTAATGTAGCCATGCTCACCTCCTCATAAGGGTGCTCTCTGGCAGGCCTCTGAGTAGGGAAGGAGAGATCCATGAAGTCCACCAGATAGTTGTAGCCATTGTCTATCGGATTGAAGTCCTCATCTGTCTCAATGACCTTAAATACATAATAAAAACAACAGTTAAGCTATGTTTTGTTGGAATTCAAACAATTTGCATTATTCACTAACCTGCAGTTATGATAAACACCAGATAACTAGAATATAAATAACCAGAATAACCAGAATCAATAACCAGAATCTAAAGAATGATCAGAATCTAAAGAATTACCAGAATCTAAAGAATGACCAGAATCTAAAGAATGATCAGAATCTAAAGAATAACCAGAATCTAAAGAATAACCAGAATCTAAAGAATAACCAGAATCTAAAAAGAAAGTAGCATAAGCATGAGAATAATTGTAAAATATCCTTCTAATTTCAACTCTCGAACCCACCAGATTTGGGTTAAAAATGTATTTAAATTTTTCAAATTGATTGAGCTTGCCTGGCGCAATGGAACCAGAGGTCATAGTCCAAGCTGACAAAATAAGATGCTCCAAGGGGCAGTTTCCTGGACACAGATGAAACCTAGTCCTGGAACAAAAATGATTTCAGATAGAGATTCTCCATTTAGCTTTTTATTTATTTATCCAGGAATAAGCTTAATCTGTGTCCGTGAGAGCGTCCCTAAGTGTTTTAAACATTCCAAAGATCTACAGAGAGAGAGGAAGTGAGTGGAATGGGTCGCGTTCAGTCGGTACAAAACCAAGAAACGTTATAAAATGGAGATAGTCTATTAATAGATTGTCCAATAATAATGATAATTTTCGTTACATGTTTTTACTGCCTACTGAATGCGAGTCAGGAGTAACCAGGAGTGTATTCATAAGTCGCAGGCAGACAAAAAGTTTGGTCTAAACCGTTTACTCCAAACGGAAAACATTTTGCAACGAAAATGAGAGTTTCTATTGGATAAATTCCGGCTTCCGTTTGGTTCCAAGAGTAAACTGTAATCGGTTTCTGTTGCAAAAAAAACGTGTTTTTCAACAGACCAACCATTTTGCAACGGTCAGCGACTAATGAATCCACCCCAGGAGTCAGCTTGTAGATGTGCAGTAGAGCAGTAAGAGCTGTGAGGACTTTTATATGGACTACAATATTTACCCGAACAACCAGATTGTAGTTTTTAAACCCTGCCCAGGTGTAATAAAATTGGATCCAGCTTTTATGTCTAAATATCTCAGCGGTGATGGCCCTGTTCAGTTCATCCACGTACAAATCAAAGTCCCAACTGTCCTTATAGAGTTTTGTCCCGGTCGGAGGGTCGGTGATGGCTTCCCTGTGGTTATAGTCAAGTCATACATGATTTAAAGTGCATTTTACCTAGGTTACAACATTAATAATTAATGAAATAATGTAGGGAAAAAAAGGGAACGTAGAAAGAGAACATAATGGAAGACAATGTAGGGAAGTGAGGTAATAATGGTTGACAATGTAGGGAAGTGAGGTAATAATGGTAGACAATGTAGAGAAGTGGGGTAATAATGGTAGACAATGTAGGGAAGTGAGGTAATAATGGTAGACAATGTAGGGAAGTGAGGTAATAATGGTAGACAATATAGGGAAGTGGGGTAATAATGGTAGACAATGTAGAGAAGTGGGGTAATAATGGTAGACAATGTAGGGAAGTGAGGTGACAATGTAGGGAAGTGAGGTGACAATGGTAGACAATGTAGGGAAGTGGGGTGATAATGGTAGACAATGTAGGGAAGTGGGGTAATGATGGTAGACAATGTAGGGAAGTGAGGTGACAATGTAGGGAAGTGGGGTAATAATGGTAGACAATGTAGGGAAGTGGGGTAATAATGGTAGACAATGTAGGGAAGTGAGGTGACAATGTAGGGAAGTGAGGTGACAATGGTAGACAATGTAGGGAAGTGAGGTAATAATGGTAGACAATGTAGGGAAGTGGGGTAATAATGGTAGACAATGTAGGGAAGTGGGGTAATAATGGTAGACAATGTAGGGAAGTGAGGTAATAATGGTAGACAATGTAGGGAAGTGAGGTAATAATGGTAGACAATGTAGGGAAGTGGGGTAATAATGGTAGACAATGTAGGGAAGTGAGGTAATAATGGTAGACAATGTAGGGAAGTGGGGTAAAAATGGTAGACAATGTAGGGACGTGAGGTAATAATGGTAGACAATGTAGGGAAGTGAGGTAATAATGGTAGACAATGTAGGGAAGTGAGGTAATAATGGTAGACAATATAGGGAAGTGGGGTAATAATGGTAGACAATGTAGAGAAGTGGGGTAATAATGGTAGACAATGTAGGGAAGTGAGGTGACAATGTAGGGAAGTGAGGTGACAATGGTAGACAATGTAGGGAAGTGGGGTGATAATGGTAGACAATGTAGGGAAGTGGGGTAATGATGGTAGACAATGTAGGGAAGTGAGGTGACAATGTAGGGAAGTGGGGTAATAATGGTAGACAATGTAGGGAAGTGGGGTAATAATGGTAGACAATGTAGGGAAGTGAGGTGACAATGTAGGGAAGTGAGGTGACAATGGTAGACAATGTAGGGAAGTGAGGTAATAATGGTAGACAATGTAGGGAAGTGGGGTAATAATGGTAGACAATGTAGGGAAGTGGGGTAATAATGGTAGACAATGTAGGGAAGTGAGGTAATAATGGTAGACAATGTAGGGAAGTGAGGTAATAATGGTAGACAATGTAGGGAAGTGGGGTAATAATGGTAGACAATGTAGGGAAGTGAGGTAATAATGGTAGACAATGTAGGGAAGTGGGGTAAAAATGGTAGACAATGTAGGGACGTGAGGTAATAATGGTAGACAATGTAGGGAAGTGGGGTAATAATGGTAGACAATGTAGGGAAGTGAGCTATTAATGGTAGACAATGTAGGGAAGTGAGGTAATAATGGTAGACAATGTAGGGAAGTGAGGTAATAATGGTAGACAATGTAGGGAAGTGGGGTAATAATGGTAGACAATGTAGGGAAGTGGAGTAATAATGGTAGACAATGTAGGGAAGTGGGGTAATAATTTTACATTTTACATTTTAGTCATTTAGCAGACGCTCTTATCCAGAGCGACTTACAGGAGCAATTAGGGTTAAGTGCCTTGCTCAAGGGCACATTTACGTCATTTAGCAGACGCTCTTATCCAGAGCGACTACAAATTGGTGCATTCACCCTATAGCCAGTGGGATAACCACTTTACAATTATACTTTTTTTTTTTTGTGGGGGGGGGGGGTAGAAGGATTACTTTATCCTATCCCAGGTGTTCCTTAAAGAGGTGGGGTTTCAAATGTCTCCGGAAGGTGGTGAGTGACTCCGCTGTCCTGGCGTCGTGAGGGAGCTTGTTCCACCATTGGGGTGCCAGAGCAGCGAACAGCTTTGACTGGGCTGAGCGGGAACTATGCTTCCGCAGAGGAAGGGGAGCCAGCAGGCCAGAGGTGGATGAACGCAATGCCCTCGCCTGGGTGTAGGGACTGATCAGAGCCTGAAGGTACGGAGGTGCCGTTCCCCTCACTGCTCCATAGGCAAGCACCATGGTCTTGTAACGGATGCGAGCTTCAACTGGAAGCCAGTGGAGTGTGCGGAGGAGGGGGGTGACGTGAGAGAACTTGGGAAGGTTGAACACCAGACGGGCTGCGGCATTCTGGATGAGTTATAGGGGTTTAATGGCACAGGCAGGGAGCCCAGCCAACAGCGAGTTGCAGTAATCCAGACGGGAGATGACAAGTGCCTGGATTAGGACCTGTGCCGCTTAATGTGTAAGGCAGGGTTGTACTCTCCGAATGTTGTAGAGCATGAACCTGCAGGATCGGGTCACCGCCTTGATGTTGGCGGAGAACAAGACAATGTAGGGAAGTGAGCTATTAATGGTAGACAATGTAGGGAAGTGGGGTAATAATGGTAGACAATGTAGGGACGTGGGGTAATAATGGTAGACAATGTAGGGAAGTGAGCTATTAATGGTAGAAAATGTAGGGAAGTGGGGGTAATAATGGCGTGGAAGACAATGTTGGGAGGGGGGAAAAAAGTGGAGGAAATAAATAAAAGGTAGACAATGTAGGGAAGGGGATAATGGTAGACAGGGGAAGTGGGGTAATAATGAAGACATTGGGAAGTGAGGTATAATGGTAGAAAATGTAGGGTTGGCTTAAAATTTTTTCATGGTTTTTTTGGGAAAAAAACCCCCCGGGCCCTTTTTTGGGTTCATTTTTTTTAAAAAAGGACGGGGAGGATAAAAAATAAATGGTTTATAGAAAGCAAGGGAAAAAATCCTGGGGGAAAACCGATTCAGTCTGTTTCCAACAGACACGGGGGAAAAATTCCCCTTCAGCAGGAAAAATAACCGAAAAAAAAGGGGCCCCAAATAAAAATGGATTTGGTTTACCAAGACGACATTGAATTTTCCTGTTTGGCCTGGTTACCCTTTTAATTAAATCAGTTTGAAAATCTAGGGCATGAAGGGAAAAATTGGCGTCAACAACCTTTTGGACAGAGTTAAAACAAATTTTTAAAAAAATAAAATGGGAAAAATTTTGTCCCAATCAAGGGGTGAAAAGCTTTTAAAGGACTTACCCTTAAAACCAAAAAGCCGTGAAAAAGTTTTTTGCCCCCTTTTGATGTTTCTTTTTTTGGCTATTTTTAATACGGGAATTTTACCCAGACTTAAACCCAAAAAACAAAATTTAGTTTAAAAGGGAAACCCTGAGTTTCAGGGCTGTCGTACGGAGTGGGACCAATGCGCAGGGGTTAGTTGAAAACATTTTTTATTTATTTAATAAAGCAAGAAAAAACCCAAAAAAAAAACGAAAACTTTGACGTCCTGGGTAAAACCCAACAAACCGACAGGGAAAACAAAACAAAAAGGAAAAAAAGAAAAACAAAATGGGGAAAAAAAAGGGGTTTAAATATGTTAAAAACAGAGGAAAAAACCCGGGCAAAAAGCTGACACTCTTTTTGGCCCGGGTTTGGGGAAGCCCTCGGGCCCCCCCCAGGAAAAATACAAACAATTGGGAAACTACCCCCAAAAAAAAAAATTTAAAACACAAAGAAACACCACCCTGGTAAAAACATATAGGCCCCCAGAACCGGGGGTGTGACAGTACCCACCCCCAAAGGGGGAGGACCGCGCCTCAAAAAAAAACCCAAAACAGGGGAGGGCTGGGTGGGAACCCTCCTCGGGGGCCCCGGGGTTCCCCCCCCCGGGGCCCTAGCCCACCACCCTTCAATAATCCCCCTTTAGCGCCCTGGTCGGTCGGCCCCGGGGTGGAGTGGACGGAATCAAGGAGGGATTGTTAGCCCCCGTTTGGGGGCGTGACCGGGGAGGGGTTTAAGGAAAAGGGAAAAGGCACGGGTTTGGTCCCGGACTAAAGACGGCCCCCAAAGGGTTGGTGCTTTTGGGGCGGGAAAAAGAGGGGACCCGGGATGACGATGCGCCCCCCGGGCTTTGGGGTTGGAGCAGAAAGGGCCGGCCCGGGGCTGACGATACGCACCCCTGGCTTGGTGCGTGGACCAAAACGGCCCGGCCCGGGTTTGACGATGGCCCCCCTGGTTGGTGCGTGGAGAAAAAAAAGGGGGGCCCGGGCTGACGATACGCACCCCTGGTTGGTGCGTGGAGAAGGAAGGGGGTTCCCAAGGCTGACAAATAGCACCCTGGTTGGTGCGAGGGGAAAGGAAACCGGCCCGGGCCCCGGGCTGGGGGAAGCGCACCGTGGGCCCTTGGGGGAAGAGTGGCGGGAAAAACAGGGGGGCCGGGCTGGCAAAGCGCACCTAGGTTTGGGGGAGTGGCAGGAAAAACCGGGGGGGCGTGGAGGAAAAACCCCAAGGCGGGGGGAAGAGGGTGGGGGAAAAAAGGAAGGGAGGGGGCGACGGCCCCCGGGGGGTGGGGTGGGGGGGAAAAGGAACAGGCCGGGGGGGCGGGGAAAAGCGCAAAGTGGGGTTTGGTCCCGGTTTGGCGGGAAACGGGGCCGGGCCAAAGCGGGGGACGGCACCGGGGCTTGGTGCGGGGGGGGCAGGAACGGGCCCGGGGCCCGGGGCTGGCGACCCGGCCCCAATTTGCCTGGTGCGGGGGGGCAGGAACAGGAGGGGCCGGGGCGGGCAAAGCGCACCTCGGCCTGGTGCGGGGGGGGGGAACGGGGGCCGGACGACGGGGGGCCAAACACCACTGGCCCTACCCCGGGTTTCGGAAACGGGCCGGCCCGGAAATGGTAACACAACCGGGCCCCTTTTCGCCGTGCCCTACCCCCTTCCTTCCCCCTTGCCCCAGGGGCCCCCCTTTAACCTGGCGGCCCCTTCCCCCC